ATGAATACTTCCTCCTAACCATATTTCAAAGTAAAACCCAGAGAGCAAAATGAATAAACAATCTCCAGTGGTCTCCCGAAATTCTTCCCTAAATGCCCTGAAGTAGCAAGAAAACCCCAAAGCTGAGCGAATGCACAACAGAGCACTTTGCCCAGCCAGGAGCTTCAGAGAGGCCCCAGGAGTCACTTGCTCCTGGAAACACCGGTTTGTGGTGGTCGAAACCGGTGGAGCGGATGGCTGGAGCCGGGCCCAAACCTCTCCACCCTTAATGCAGGGGGGGTGGGGGGAAGAGGAGAAGAAAGGGAGGGGGAGTGGGGACCAGCTGCCCTCTGGCCCTGATGGCCCCTTCTCCCTGGCCTGCCCCCCAGTTTGGAGGTATCTGGCAGGGCTCCCCAGTACTCAGGCAAGCAGGGGCAGCGTTTGATCACGCTGCTCAGGCCATGTCCACTTGCTGCAAGTCCTTCACGCACTGCAACCCAGGGTCCTGGCACTCAGGCTGTGCCCAATTCTTGAGGACTCAGAGGTGCATGGCAGAAGCCCATTCCCCAGGGACAGAAGGCAAACCCCCCCCCCCCACAGGAAAAGAAAAACCTAGCACACTGTCCAGGTATCCTCAGGGTATGGAGGAGGCTGGGTCCAGGATGCAGGACACCAAAATTGAAATGCTCACATCCTTACATAAAATGATGCAGTATTTGCCATAACCTGTGCACACACCCCCATACACCTTAGATGGTTTCCAGATGGCTTACAATACCTGATCAACGTAAGTGCTCTGTGAACAGGTGTTGCTTGCTACTATTTGGGGGAATAATGACAAGAAAAAAGTCTGTACATGTTCAGTATTGAGCAATTTTTTTTCCTGATATTTATTGGTCCGCTTGGTTGAGTGTGTGGGTGCGGAACATGTGGAATCAGAAAGCCACGTCTATTTTCTTACAGCCCATGAAAGCTTAGACCACTATGTTTTGTTTTACTTTTAAAGAAACTGGTGAATTTTTATTACTTTTACACATATAAGACCTACTAACTTAAGGACTTTTCCCCACTTGGTCATGTGCATGAACCCAGAGCCTTGCCTATGCTAGGTAAGGCTCCACCTGAGCTATATCCTCAGCTCCAACAGTTAACTTTACAAAAGCCTACTTGCACAAGCAATCAATTCACCATCAAATCCACTGCTTCTTCCCCCAAAGCAAAACATATAAACACTAGTCTTTGGTTCCAATAGTGCCAGATCTTTGTCCTTTGGATATTGCATTTGTGCATTACTGAGGAAGAATGTCATCAAAAGGGGCAACTTCACAGCAAGCACTGGTTCAATGCTGCTGACACAATGAGCAAACTGTCACAGTAGCAGATTGCAGAGGCGGTAGGTAAACTAAGGAGATTGAAAAGAGGAGAAAACCAGACTAAGAAATCCAAGGTAAAACTTGCTGCCACCCCAGGGGCGTATAAAAAGCCAGCTGTGGCAATGTGATGGCTCTACAGGGTACAAGGAACAGTTGAGAATCCCAACTTTGTCTAATTAAACTTTTATTTTAATTAGAAGAATAAAAGGTAAATATTTCACCCCTTATCCTCTGGAGGTTACTCAGGACAAGGAAGCTGTGGCCTCAAGACATTATCTACAAAAGAGGCAAAAAGAACTACAGGTAAGGCAGAGAACTGAATCCAGATGTGCTATTCCCAGTTGTATCACTTCCCGGGGATTCTTACACAGTGTGTCAAAAAGTGTCTTCATATCTCCTGCTATAGTAAACCTGGTTACTTAAATGAGTGAACACATTAATGCAAAACCACAATGACTGCTCCTACCTCCTAGGGCGTTTCATAAGGTTACCTAGATGCCCGTTTTTCTTTTTTGAGTTCAGTGAAAAGTAAATACAGCCAGCTTCAGAAGAAAGTGATGTTTTAATAAGTATAAAGCATGAAAAAACTATTTCCTGTTTAGTTTTATCAACAGTCTTTAAAGGTGTACATCAAGTAAGAAAACCAAAACTATAACGCCTTTCTTGGAGTGGGACAGGAAAGCAGTCTAGGAGCACAGCAACTGTGCCTGAGTAGGCAGGCCCTTTGCCCTCACAGCTCACCCACCAGCAGGAAGGAGAGAGAGAGGTGGCCACCGGCACCTGCCCCAAAGCCCCAGCAGGGGAGAACAGACAGAAAGAGGTGGGACCAGCCAAAAGAAGGCGATCAATTTACATTTAAATTCTAGACATGCAGAGGCCAAAAGCCACCAGGTGCCTTCCCCCAGCCTGAAGCATCGCTCTGGGATAGGGTGGACCACATTTGCACTGGTGACAATTAATGATCTTTGTTCCTCAAATGAAAACACTTAAAAAAAAAGCAAGAAAACAGTGACCTTTTGGAATAGGAATACAGGTTGAGCATTCCTAATCCAAAAATCTGAAATACAGAATGTTCCAAAATCTGAAACTTTTGAGCTCTGACAAGATTCCACAAGTAGAAAATCCCACACCTGACCTCACATGATAGGTCCAAGTCAAAACGCAGACACACTGTAATTGTCACATAAAATTACCTTCTGGCTATGTGTATAAAGTGTGTGTGTGTGTGTGTGTGTGTGTGTATATATATATATATATATATAAAAAATATAAATAAATTTTGGGTTTGACTTGGTCCCATCCCCAGGATATCTTAGTGTGCACACACGTGTATGCAAATATTCCAAAATCTGAAAATATCCAAATTCCAAAATACTTTTGGTCCCTAGCATTTTGGATAAGGGACACTCAACCTGTGCTGTATAAATTAACTGTTCTTGCTAAGCTCAAGAAACAGAAGGGGGACTGGGGTTATGGCTCAGTGGTAGCGCCTTGCTTAGCTCCTGTGAGGCACTGGATTCATTCTCAGCACCACATACAAATAAATAAAGAGGCTGAGCTGTGGAGCGTCCTCAGGAATCTAAAAGGGGACTCTAGTTTTATTCTGAATCTAAACAAAAATCACCTTCCTGTATCAGAATCCTTTTTTGTGTCCCTACTGAACCAACTACTTCTAAAATTCAGAAACTGGTGTGTCCACAGGAGAAATAAGACCTACACAAATCTGCTTATGGAAGGGGGAGGCCAGTGACACTGCCTGTGTGGTTGTGCAGAGAAATGAAGAACTAGATATACCAAAGTTTTTCTCCACCCCATAGAAAATGACCATTTAAAGAGTAAATGTGGGGGCTGGGCTGTGGCTCAATGGCAGAGCGCTTGCACTGGGTTCCATCCTCAGCACCACATAAAAATAAATAAATTAAACAAAGGTAGTGTGTCCATCTACAACTAAAAAAATAAAAACAAAGAGAATACATAAGAATATTCTTTAAAAAACAGAGAGCGAGTAAATGTGGGGCTGGGGTATATAACTCAGTGGTAGAGCGCTTGCCTAGCATGCAAGACCCAAGGTTTGATCCCCAGCACAAAAAGAAAAAGAAGAAAGTAAATGTGAGAGGATAAAAAAGACGACTAAAAGCAAACTGAACACAAGGCTGCCCATCTCTGCTCAGTGCTCCGACCTCCCAGACATCTGATCACAGCAGCTGTGCCCATGCCAAAGCATGTGCACCATGCACAGGTGTGCAGACACACTTATATGCTGTGAATAAAAAAAAAAAAAATCACATCCAAAGCCAGTGAGTGTATGTCAAATCCCTGACCGGCCAGGGCATTCTCTCAAGCTCAATATGCAACTGTACATAGAAGTATGCTGACTAGGTAAATTAGGGGACTGCCACTCAAAATGGTATCTGTTTGGACTTTTCCATAGGACTGCAATCTAGGACTACCACTCCCTCAGGTGACTGCACGCTGGACCCAGTGTGTGTCCCAACCCCAGCAAGCACTAAAGAGGACCCTCTTTTATTTTTTTGCAGTGCTGGTGACTAAACACAGTGCCTCCATGTTAAGAAAGTGCTCTACCACCCTGAGCTACATCTCCAGCCTTAGGAGTTAAAGGTTTTAAAAAAGGAGGAAGAAAGAAGGGAGGGAGGGAGGGAAGGAGTAAATTACTGCTGGGCACAGTAGCAAGTGCCTGCCATCCCAGCAACTTAGGAGGCTGAGGCAGAAGGATCACAAGTTCAAGGCTAGCCTGGACAACTTAGCAGGACCCTGTCTAAAATAAAAATAAAAAGGACTGGGTATGCAGCTCAGAGGTAGAGAACCCCTGGGTTCAATCCTCAGAATGAGGTTGGGGGAACTACCCTTACCAACCAATAAAACATGATCAGTGCTTCAGGGAGAAGGAAGGGAGACCATCCCTCCCTCTAAACTGCTGTGGTTTTACACACCTGGTGCCAGGATATGTGCAGCAGAACCAAGTAACAGCAAACCCTCTCCTCCTCCTTCCACATCTTCATAAGAAGAAACCACAGATACAGTGGAAAGCTGTCTGTGGAAATGGGCACCTAGGTACTCACTACCTATGGTGTGAATGACCTTGAACAGCAGCAAATGATCAAGTTCATAAATTATCCTGAAAATTCAGAAGGTCTGTTTTGCCAAATCTCTTTGAAAGTCGGGACACCAGAGTATAAGATTTATGCTTTTGGGTTTTGAGAGTAAAACAAAAACATCTGTTGAAATAATGTGGTTATATAAAACATGGCTTTGGGACATTTTATGATTTGAGTAATGGAAGCACTCAGTATTTTATTCTCAAGAGACTTTTCTCTTTCAAAAAAAACCAAAAAACCCACAAAACCACTTCATTAATGTTCTTGTAAGAAATATACCTTTAGGAGGTCAGTCAAATAGAGGAAAGTGATCAGAGGTAAGAAGCGGGGGAGTGGTGGGAAGGAATACTGGCCATGTTGTTATACTGTGTGTATGTATTAACATATAAGAACAAATCCCACATTATATACAACTATAAAGCACCATTTAAAAACGTGGAGGGAAAAAATATATATACCTTTAACACTGCTCTTTTTAAAGAACTGTTGATCTCTTTCAAAATGAGACAACTTCTCAGATTCTAAGTCTCACCTTGGCTTGCAGAACAGGGGCACCCTGAATGCCCAGGGGCCTCTCCCAGTCACTGGCCAGGTCCTGTGGCTTCCCTCTTCCACAGGCCATCCCTTCCACATCAGAAAGCTCACCCAGTTGATGAAACCACTAGGCTGACATCTCGGTCAAGTTGGTGCCTGCCACAGATGGGAACCGAGGTGGGCCTCTGTCCTTGGCCATTCTCTCCCTCACCTCTGGTGCCACTGTAGCTCTGTGTGTCTCCAGGGCTCTGGTCCAGGCTCTCCTATCTGCTCCAGATACTCTGGACAGACACCTCTGCACACCTGGCTGTGCTGTCCGTCACTCCACCTGAATCAAACCTACCCATTCACCTGTTCCCCAGCAACTCCACTTTAGGCCTCACACACAGCACAGCAAAACCTACACATGCAGAAAGGAGCTCCTACCTTCTGTCCCTATGTCCAACCCGGGACTTCTCTGGTGTTCCCTATTCAACCAATGGTCTCACCCTTTAAGTCCAGAGGCGCCAGCCAAAAGCCCAGCAATGGACCCGCCCAGCCACACCACCTGCTGTTGTCCCTTGTGTGGTGTTTCTCCCCACACCTGCTGCCTGTCCCTAGCCACCTTCAGCTTCCCCTACTCATCACATTTGACTCCTTGCTCTGCCACCAGTACCACAAGTGGTCAGTTCTGATGACTGTTGCCTACATCTCCCTGCTACATGGACACCACTGCTCTCAGTTTCTTAAAACAACACCTAACAGCTTTGGGAAAAGCCCTCTGGCCAATGTGCTACTGCCTCAACAGGCTCCTCTTCCTTAGTGAGAAAGAACATGTTGCCTTTCTCCTGGATTCTGGGATTAATCATCCCTCATCTGTAGGTCTCTCTCTGAATGCATCTATCAACTCTCAGTTGCAGCCCTGATCTTCCCAGGGAGGTTTAGATGTGTCTGACAGGCACCAAATCCAACACAGCCCACACTGAGCACACACTCTTCCCCTCCTGCTCCATCCACATCCTTCATCAAGATTGTTCCCTCAGTGCTGGTACCCCAAAGCAGCCAGGCTGCACATGTGTGCCCCACTCTCAGCTTCTCTCCCTGAGCTCCCACAAATTGCCCATCACTAGGGACTGTCCATTTCCACCTCCCCGAAGGTCTCCCTCCACTTTCCATTTTTGCTCCTGTCGCTTCTGATACAGGTCCGCAATGCTCTTCACTGATTCATTCCTTCATCTACTCAGCAAGTTCATACCAAGCTCCTACTAGATGTTTTAGCTGTAGTCAGTACACCCTATACCTTGTGGTTTTTTGATGGTAAATCATGATTTACTACTAGAACAGGAACATGGGATATGGTGTTGAGAGCCAGAGGGAATGGTTTAGAGTCTCATGTGGGAACAAGGGAGAGGACCAAATCCAGCTTTGTTGGGGAAGACTTCCCAAGGAAGCCCCATGGCTGTTGAGAAGTCAAGGGAAGCCTTTTCCACCGGCCCATCTTGTCAGCCAGGGACAAGCAGCCTTGATGAACAGAGAACCACAAAAGGTCAGGATGGTTGGAGCAGGCAGGGTGAGAGCAGGAAGGGTGGGACTTTTAGCTGCAATCACTTTAAGTGGGCAACTGGGGAGTCCAAAGGGTGTTTAGAGGAGAGTGACCCGGTGAGATAGTGTTGGAAAGATCAACCATGGTCTTGGGAGGGGAGCTGGCAGGACCTCTGTGAAGGTCATGGGTTAGGAAGATCCTGTGGTAATCCAAAGAGCAAAGACCATGGTCTCAATGTTGAGGCTAGGAAACACTAAACCAGGGACGGTTTCTAGGAAGGAGTAAGAAGGAAAAGACTTGACACTGGTTGGCTGCTGGGGCTAACCCACCACCCAAAGACGGTACCAGTGAAGCCTCAAAATGACCACTCTCTTCTCCTTGGGCTTCCCCCACGCTTTTCCCTGGGCACCCCTTGCACACTTTTGAGTTGACACAGAGCTAAACTTAGGGTTATGCACGGCAAAAGACGTCTGCACTGCATATGCATTTAAACAGCTTTGAGTTTGCAGATTTAGCTTATTCGGTTAATGGGAAATGTCTACTATGCAACCTATTTGCCGAACTGGATTTACTTTCAGTGAGGAAAAGTCCGACCTCAATGTCCCACGACTTCGTTCGCTTTTAAGAATCACACCACACCATCTCACCGACTTGTAAAGATTTCTTCCTGAGTCTTTGCTAAGTCTCGGCAACGACACGAGACCCTGCAGTGATGGCTCGGCGTTCTTCTGGAGCAGGCAAACAATAACAAGGGACTAAATACTCCAACGCCCACTTCCACCTCCCGCCGGGCCGCTCTTCAGGCCGCCCCGCGCTCGAGGCGCCCTGGGCGGGGGTCCCCTCGGTGCGCGCCCGGGAGCAGGGTCCCCTCCGTCGATCCTCGAGGTCGGCTGAGCCAGACGCCCTAGGCTGGGTCGTTCTAACTACCGCTCTGGCCTCAAATGAGGACGCGCTCGGCAACGTCCGCCTACTAAACCCGGGGGACTCGCTTCCACCCAGAAGGGAGAGCTCCGGCCGGGCGGCCGTGCTGGGCCTCTGGGACGCAAGCCAGGCAGGCCGCCAGCCGTCCTCCTCGTCTCAGGCACCGGCGCCTTCCCACCCCGCCCCATCCCCTCCGGCCTCACACAAACGACGGGAAAGGAGCCGGGACCTTCGCCTCGGAGTCAGTCTAGACGTCGCCATCCCGGCAGTACGACTCCGCACCCAGACGCCTCCGCAGCGGCCATCTTGCGCAAAAGAGGCCGACGCCTTTTGACTCTCGCGCCAACCCGTAGAGCGAGGGTGCCGCCGGCGAGTTACGCGCAAGAACGGAAGCTAAGGCATCAGCTTCCGGGGACCTCTCGTTCTGCCCCCTCGCGGGAGCGCCCCATTGGCTGCTAGCTCGCTGTCTCGTGGTCTCGCGAGAAGTGACTGAGGGCTGGACGCCGGCGCGTCTGCCCTCCGGTTCCCCGCCCCGCCCCCGTCTCCGCCGCGGCCTCCGCCTCCCTCTGCTGGGCGATTGCCGCCGTCGCCCCTCCCCGGCCCCGGGAGCGGCCGCGGAGCCGCCGCCGCCGCCCACACTGCGCTGCGCGGGAGGCGGGATCCACAAGGTAAAATGGCCGCGGAAGGCCCCGGCGGCCGGGCTGCGCGTCTCCGTGGGACCCGGCGAGCTGACCGGGGGTCAGGGCGCGCGAACTGGGGTCTGGGCTGCGCCGCCCAGCAGCGCCTTCCTGCCCCGCGGGCCCCCGACGGCCGTCTCTCCCGGAAGGGAGCATGCTGCACGCTGGCCCGCGCTCTGTCCGGGGCAGGGTTCGGGAGCGTGCGTCCGGCTCTGCCCAGGACGACTTTCGTAGTAGCACCAAGTTGGAGCCGCAGCGGAGCTGCTGCGTGCAGAGCCGGCCCTGGTCGTGCGCGGGGGCCGAGATGCGGGTCTCTGGTGCCTGTGTACCTGCTGGGGTCCAGGGGCTGCTGGTGTGTGGATGACTGCTGGTTACGTGTGGAAACTCACACGAAGGTGTTTCTTCTGGGGGCTTTTTAGATTGCTCCGTAGCTCGCTAGTTTGCGAATAGGAGTTTTTGGTCTGGCTGAGTTCTGCAGTTGACCTGTAAACCACCTGAGAGACCTTAGTGCCGGTGACAGCCCGCCCACTTGACCTCCCTTCTTCCATAGTGCGCCTCTGCAAGTTCCAGCTGCTGGCGCCTTCACGTCTCTGCTTGGTCTCTGGAGTCCGTGCATCCCCTGAGTGTGTACCCCCTTGTTCCCTGTCTACCCTCTCCCTAGGTGGTCTTTGCTGAACTCTTAGCTTAGATGTTTTCCTCTTCACCACAAATGTTTCCCTAATTAATGTTTCCAGCGTGGGGCTCGACCTATAATCCAGATGCCTGCTAGACTTCTCCAGCTACTTAGTAGTCATCCAGACCTGCCCTGCTCCTCAAACCTGTTCTGCTTACAGTCCTGCCTCCGTGTTTGTGGTGACATTCTCCAAGGTTTTTCTTGCTTGGAAGCTGATCTGAATTCTTCCCTTGCTTTTGTCCCAACACATTCAGTCCAAGAGTAGCCATTAGCTCCATGACCAAAGCCTTGATCTGAGTGTCTCTCGTCTCTGTTGCTGGCCTGCCTGCTCAGTGTCCAGTGTTCACCCCACTTTCACCCTGGAAACCTGTACCATCTTCTAATTTAATTTATTGAAGCAAATTAACATGAACTTGGCTGGGTATAAAGTAATATCTGGACATCCATGTCAGTGGCATTGTATGAAAAGTAGCCGGTCAGGGCACTGTGTCTCTACCTCAAAAGCCAGCTAGTGCTCTGGAGCTAGCACAGCAACCCCTGTGGTCCCCACCATCTCACCCTCCTACACAGGTAACCTCCTCTGAAGTGTCAGTTTTCACACCTTTAGCTACTAATACAAAACAAAAACACCTTTTGCCATGTAGATATTTATTGTCATATATTTGTTCTTTCCAAAACTCATGCCTTACTTGGGTCTCCACTGTAACTTGCTGTTTGCATTCAGCATTGTTTTGTGTCATCCACATGACTCTGTGATTTTATTTATTTATTTATTTTATTTATTTATTTATTTATTTATTTATTTATTTATTTTATTTATTTATTTATTTATTGCTTTATTAAATTTTGTTGTGTGATACATGACCACAGTCCCTTCTCAAATATGAATATTTCTGAAACCAAAAGTTTTGATTTTGTTTTTGTTTTTTTTAATCTGTTTGGTGGCAAAACCTGACTTAGTAAAGTCTAACAATCTCCATTGCATTTAGTGTGAATATGCTTACATTTCAATGAAGAAATAATACCAGATTATGGTGTGGTGCCCCAGGCCCTGGAGAGGCTGTCATAAAATCTATGTTAACTTATACCATGTCATCTGTGCAGAATCTGAAAAGTTTTGAATTCCAGAATATACTACTCAAGGGTTTTTTGGATGTGGGCTCTATATACTACGGTTTGTTTGCCCATACTCCTGTTGAATGACTGTCCAGGTAGGTGGCTTTCATGTTCTTGCTGTTTTGAGTAGTACTTCTGTGAGCAGGGTTGTCTGCACTAGGTACATGCAGATGAGCTTTTCTACGGTAGAGATTTAGCAAGAATGGAAATGCTAGGTTCTTAGGGGTACCACATGCAGGTTTACAAATAACCTGATGCATTTCAATGAATCAGTCTTCTGACATTACAGTAAAAGAGGTCAAGAGAAGTGTCTTTGCCAGCACGTGGCATTGTTGGATTTCTTTGCCAGTCTGGTGGGCATAGGTAGGCTTACAGTCTCATTTTGCTCACATCATAGCTTGTAACCCCCAGTAGTTCCCATTACACTTAGCTGAGACCCTAAATATCTCCCTCAGCTCAGAAGGCCTCTACTCTCTGATGCCACTGACCCTTTGCCTCTGAACTCTCAGGCCTTTGCTGCTTTCTTGCGTCCGCTCTGCTTTCAGCACACCTAGCCTTGGTGTTCTCTACATGTGCATTTGGGTCTCAGGTCCTTTGTACTTGCTATGTTCAAGGTTGACAGCACCTTTCCACCCTCCCACCCCCACCTCCTACTGATTTGCTGCATTTGCTTTCTGAGAGGATCCGCTGGGCATAAAATTCTTCACTGATTACCAAAACTTTTTTTTTCTATAGAAATAAACCAGAATGAGTTATGCAGAAAAGCCTGATGAAATCACGAAAGATGAGTGGATGGAAAAGCTCAACAACCTACACGTCCAGCGGGCGGACATGAATCGCCTCATCATGAACTACTTGGTCACTGGTAATGGCCTCTGTGGGGACAGCCACTTGGGCACAGCACTCCCTTTTACTCCCTTGTACTCAGTGGTAATGCCACATCGTGTTCAGGCATTGGGAGATGCAGTGCTCACTTGACATACTGGTAAACTGTGTTAAATACAGCCTTTTCAGGAGACGAGATATGTACTCCAGGTCTTTGAGAGCTAAGGCAAAAATCAGTGTCTTGGCCTTTGACAGTTTTGTAGTTAGGTAATCCAGATCATTAAGACCATTCTGAGCCAGGTGTGATGGAGCATGCCTGTCATCCCAGTGACTTGCAAGGCTAAACCAGGAGCATCCAAGTTCAAAGCCAGCCTCAGCAACTTGATGAGACCTAGTCTCAAAAAATAAAAAGGACACTGGGGTTGTAGCTCAGTGGTTAAGCACTTCTGGGTTCAAGCCCAATACCAAAACAAAACAGAACAATTCTGAATTGGACTCAAAGGTCAGATAATTGATGTTTTCTGGCGAGTCTGCTTCTATAAGGAGTGCCCAACTCAAAAAAGAGAGAATGGGAAGCTGGGCACTGTGGCACAGGCCTGTAATCCCTCCTGTTTGGGAGGCTGAGGCAGAAGGATTACAAGTTTGAGGCCAACCTAGGCAATGTAGCAAAATCTGTATGGAAAGGAAAGGAATGGGGACTGGGAATGTAGGCGTCCCTGGGAGATTAATCCCCAGTACCACAAAACAAACAAGCAACAAAAAAAGAGGGAAGGAAGAGAGCAGGAGCCTGCAGAAAGAAATAGCACCAAGACCCCCTCCTCTTGGCAGGAAGAAGATCACTGACAGCTCTAGTGAGAAAAATCAGGGATTTTCAAAAGGCAGGAAATGAAGTTCTCTCCTTCCCTCCTGTTCATCCCTTCAAGTTAAAATCTTCCTCTGTTAATCCCCAGCCATCTCTTTAAGTTGATTTCTTAAAAGCTTCAGAAAGTTGATGAGGAAATCAGCATCTGTCCTTGTGGTGTGGGAGAAGGGGACAAACACTGCGCTCATGGTGAGGGAGCAGTTGGCTCAGGGCAGGTGAAGCTGGCATGGGCACAGCAGCCCCTTGGAGGCACAGCTGGTGTGTCTGCCTCACCAGGAGCCAGGGTGAGCTCTGGCGTGCTAGCCTGCAGTCCCAGCCTTCTTCATCTAGTGGGTCTCACTAACCTCTTGGCTGGGAAGGTGGGCTGTTTGGATGGGATGGAAGGAATGAAGTGTGCTGTTTTTCAGTTCTGTGTTTGGAGAGCATAGCCTATAAATCACAGAGACAGGAATACCAAGTCCCTAAGAAAGTGTGGTTGGTGTCAGGGCTTATCTAATTGAGGCAGCTGGACGTTCTAGAGGTATGAAGGCTGCGATAGTTCCCTGCTGCCTTTCCTAGTGGTAAACATAGTTTTCATTTCTAGAAGGCTTTAAGGAAGCAGCGGAGAAGTTTCGCATGGAATCTGGAATTGAACCCAGCGTGGATCTGGAAACTCTTGATGAGCGAATCAAGATTCGGGAGATGATTCTGAAGGGTCAGATTCAGGAGGCCATTGCATTGATCAACAGCCTCCATCCAGAACTCTTGGACACAAACCGGTACCTTTACTTTCATTTGCAGGTGAGTGTTATTGGATGTGGATACTTGGTAAATTAAGGTTGTTTGCAAAGACAAGTAAGCAGGCTACTTGGCATTAATAGAATATTGTAGTTTTTTGTGGAAATGGTATTAGAGTTATGTGCTTTACTTATTTCAGAAACTCCTTTTTGCTTTTAAAATACAATTTTTTTTTTTAATACAAATTTAACAACCTGGAGGTATTAGAAAAGCCTCTTCTTGGAGTTGTACCTTTTTTTTTTTTTTTGGTGGTGCTGGGGATGGAATCCAGGCCTTGCACACGTGGTAAGGAGGTGTTCCACCCCTGAGCCCCACCCCAGCCCGTTGACTGTACCTCTGACTGGAGCCCAGTGCTCAGTGTTGCCTGCCTGGGTGGTCTGCTGAGCGTGTCTGTGTTTACCATTGACCAGCAACAGCATCTAATTGAGCTGATCCGCCAGCGAGAGACTGAGGCAGCACTAGAGTTTGCCCAGACGCAGCTGGCAGAGCAGGGTGAGGAGAGCAGAGAGTGCCTCACAGAGATGGAGCGAACACTAGCCCTGTTGGCCTTCGATAGCCCCGAGGAATCACCCTTCGGAGACCTTCTCCACATGATGCAGAGGCAAAAGGTAGTGGTCTATAAGAGGGAAAATCCTTTTACCCTGGTGGATATTAGAGAGGCGGTTCCAAAAGGGTGGCATGTGCACTGCATTTGTGGTCTGGGGTGGGACAGGGCTCTGGCTTGTGGTTCTTTGGGGTGATAGTGGCGACTCCTCCCTGGCGTTTTCTCTTTCATCTTGTTGAAGGAGGAGCAGCAGAGGTGTGATGGCCTGGCGGTGTCCAGACCCCTGTGCTCATTTTTTTTTTTTTTTTTTTATCTTAACCTTCCTCCTGTTTATTTGAAAACTTCTAGAAACAGGTGTCCTAAGAGGTTTTAAATTATAATTGTGTTTTTTTCTGGGACTGCTGCTGCTCTCGTGTCCAGCCACAAACTACAGCTCAGTGCTCCCAAACCCAGACCCCTCTCCTCCCAGAGCCCGAATGGTTCAGGGCTCTGACCTCCCTGCACCACATTGGAAGGACTGCCTCCCCCAAAGGTTGCCTGAGGCTCTATAGGAGGGAGCCATATTGCCACTGTACTGGCCTCTGCTCTCTCAGTCCCTGCGGCACTTTATTTGAGAGGCTTGCAGCACTTAAATGACCTTGAAGCTGGAGGTGACACTTGCTGACCAGATTGTAAAAGCTACTCTGGGCAAGGACTGTGTTTAATGCCTCCAGAGTGGCTCATAATTTTGGGTTTGATGTTCATTTCAATGAATAGCAAACTTCTCATGAAAATGGTTTCCAAGAACATAAAATGCGTGTTGTTAGTAGACGTGGCGATGCTCTGTGTGTGTGACCTTCACTGGATGTGTCTGTTTTCTAGGTTTGGAGCGAAGTTAACCAAGCTGTTCTAGATTATGAAAATCGCGAGTCGACACCCAAGCTGGCAAAATTACTGAAACTGCTACTGTGGGCTCAGAATGAGCTGGACCAGAAGAAAGTGAAGTATCCCAAAATGACAGACCTTAGCAAAGGGGTGATCGAGGAGCCCAAGTAGAGCCTGTGCAGGCCCACCGCGCCACTCCCCACAGGACTCGCCTTCCCTGGCACAGCTGTAAGGTTCCCACTGCAGTAGGAAGCTTTTCCCCCTGGTACTTTTTTTTTTTTTTGACTCAGCATCTTTCTTAAAAGGAAAACAGCTCTTTTAAATGTTGGAAGCCCCTCGGTGAAGGGTGCCATCTGGGAAAGCTGTCCAGCTGTGCACTGGTGTGTCCTGAGGACCTCAGCGCCTTGTGTCCCTGTCGGGGTGCTCTTGTGCCTGGCTGCCATCGGGGCTGGGTTCCTAGGGCTGCTGGGTCGACCCCGGCCTCCCTTTGAGGGGCATGAAGAGCACCCGTCACTCTTGCTTTCTGCTGGCTTGTAGGCAGACAATGCCTTTGTTAATTTTCCTAAGTCTTGTCAGGCCTTCATCTTCAAGTTTTTCCTCACCCATGTTTTTCATTTTTTTTTTTTTTTTCCCTTCTCTAGGAAACAATATATAAATTTGTAAATCCTAATTCAAAGATGACTTTCGTGTGAGGGTATTGAGTTGGATTTGTTTTTCTCTTTTAGTCTGGGTTATGTGGCTTTCGGGGAGACGTGTGTAAGGGGTGGAGCTGTGTGCATTTTAATTTTTTTATATATATATTTTGGTGCTGTATGTGATGAGAGACGAATCAGTGAACCATCTCTTGTAGGCAGTTTTGTTGAAAATAAAGGTTTCTCTTTGATTTCAATAATGACCAGAATGGCCACTGAAAAACACTTGTCCTTTCAGCCAGCCTCTTGCTGGCACTCACTTCCCTGTGCTTAAGTGTGAGGCAGCCCTGGTGCTATGGGGATAGGCCTCAGCAGGGTGCCCAAGGCTCTCTGTGGAAGTGCTGCTGCTGTCACGACTGTGTGTCCAGACTGTGTCCATCATGTGACACGTGTGCAGGTCGGCCCTCGGTAATGGGCATGTGCACACACGAGTGCAGACATGAAACCTCTGGTTGCAGAGGGGCCTCTAGGGCCGTGCCAAAAGCCAGTGTTGGGGGTGGTCTCAGCAAGTCTGGCGGGCCATGGAGATGATGCAGGAACTATCCAGGGGTGGGAGTACTCACTTGCCTACAGGGACTGAGACTCTGCTGAGTCTCATCAGTCCCTTGGCTGAGTCCTGATGCTGGAGTAGAGTGTTCAGGGGCCTAGGGCCCCCAGGAGAGTGGTGTATTCTGCTTGTTCCAAGCAGCACTAGGCATCTGGACCAGCAAGGTCCGACTGGGGAGCAGGCGCCAGCTTGCCAGTGCTGGCCAGTCAGGTGATCCCCTGCTGGGGGGCTGCTCTGCACATCTTTCTCCTCCACCTTCAGCCTGGCAAGGTGTTCTCAGCCTCTCTACTTCTGTTTTCACTGGGTAGAAGCTTTTACCTAGATGGTTGGTGAGTGAGTCAAAACAGTAGAGCTGTTGGCAGCCATGATGGAGCCACCGTGGCCCCCAGACTGCCCCTTCCGCTGTGTTGGTTTGGGAGGTGGAGGGAGGGGAGGTCTGCCCCGGCCTCGTAGTCACAGTGAGTTGTCTTCAGGTTGTCTTTAGAACTTTCCTTCCTTAGTTTTGAAAATGAAAATAAGAGGGGAAGGGAGCTTTAATCTTCAGGTACTAATAGGTTGGACGTAGCAGAAGGTGGGGAGAGGTAGAAATAAAACTGCATATTTGGAAAAGCCCTAGATGACCAGCACATGATCAACTGTCCTTTCTCAGTATAGATGAGATCGCTTCCGTGGACAGTGTTTGCGCGATCTGGCACATGTGTGAAGTGTCGTCAGGTGGTGACAAGACGAGACGATGGTGTTTTATTTGCCCATTCTGTCAGAGCAGCTTCAGCAGCCATTGCTGCTCTCTCCAGGGCTGGGATGTCAGAGTGCAGGACTTCAGGTGTCCTGCCTTCTGCCAGCGCCCTGGAGAACCCCTCAGGGCTGCTTTGCTCTTAGTCTCTGCAGCAAGCAAGTGAAGTTAGACTGCTCTGGGATGATGGACGCCCAGTATACTTTGGCTTTTCTACTTTGTTTCATCTGGAGCCCACTGATGTGTTCATTAAGATGTAGTGTTATAGCTGGCACTGTGGCACGTGCCCATAATCCCAAGAACATGGGAGGCTGGGGGAGGAGGATGAGTGGCTTGGTGAGATCCTGTCTTGAAATGAAAGTTAATAGAAAAAGTGCTGGGGTGTAGCTCTGTGGCAGGGTGCTTGCCCAGGATGCATAAGCTCTTGTGTTGGATTCCCTGTGCTGGAAGGAAAAAAAATGAATTTCAACTGTTTCACAAAGTAGTTATTTCTTCTTTTTATGCCTTCTAATGGGAAGTGCCTTGAAATAAAGGAAACTTTGATAATATTCTGGTGTTCTGTTCCCATATCATGAAGTCGTGGGAAGAATAACTCTGTTCTGGAACTTTCTCAGTCATTGGGGTTATTGCCAATTAATTGAGGACTTGTGTGTTTGCCACTTGAATTAAGTTTTCAAGTTCTGGAAAAGGCAGGTGTTGACCATGGCCTTGCCTGAGACATGGCTGAAGACCGGTGGCCCTATACATGCAGAAACCGCAAACCAGAGTCTACCCCCAGGGTGGGGTCGAGGTTGGGGTAGCACACTTTATTTCCTTCTTTCTGTGCACTTTTGGTTTGGAGAATGGAAGAACTCAGAATCCAGGAAGACTCTTTTTTTTTTTTTTTTTAAATATTTATTTAGTTAGTTAGTTAGTTCTCGGCGGACACAACATCTTTGTTTGTATGTGGCGCTGAGGATCGAACCCGGGCCGCAAGCATGACCGCACGCATGACAGGCGATCGCGCTACCGCTTGAGCCACATCCCCAGCCCTCCAGGAAGACTCTTAACATGTTTCATGATACAGATGCTGACGCCTTCAGGATAATGGAGCAGGACTCCCTTCCAGGTTGTTGCTTTCCAGTCTCAGTATGAACAAAAGACCAAATTAAAAGCCTCAGGAGAGCAGAGAGGTCTGTCTGCACCTCTGCTGGTGGAAGGTGTCGAATGGTGTTGTGGGACACCGTGGCATGGGTGAGTCTGTCCCTAGCCTTCACTCGTCACTGCTCTGTTGATGATTTATTCTGATGCCACCACATGGATTCTTGCAATGGGATATGTTTTGGTGTCAGAAATAGGTATTGCTGTGTCAGATGGACAGTCATTCTGTCTGCAGCAGCCATGTAAAATCCTGCAAAATGCCCTTGTCCGCCAGAGCACTGTGTTGTGTGCACATTGGGTTCTGTCATTTTTTGTTCCAGGGAGGCATTTGAGCCCTGCCAAGCCCTGTATCTTCTGAGAAACGCAGAATAATAGCTTTTCACTGCCTGTCCTTAATTTGATAGTAAAGATTTTCACAATTTTCCCAGAATGATCATCTTTTTTTTCTTCCATAAAGATATATTGATAAATACAGAGAAATACTACATTTTGGTGGAAGTCAGTATGTCAGAATTGGAAGAGTAGAAAGAAACTGGATTCCTGTAACTACACTTTGGTTTTAATCTTGCCCCACTCCAGTAGTACTTATCTTTGTACAAGAAAATCTCCAAGGGCTGGGATTGTGGCTCAGTGTTAGAGCACTCGCCTAGCATGGGCGGGACCCAGGTTCGATCCTCAGCATATAAAAATAAAGGCATTGTGTTATATCCATCTATACCTAAAAAAAAAAAAAAAAAATTAAAGAAAGAAAGAAAATCTCCAAACATATCCAACATAAGAGCCCACCACTCTGCTGGGAGCTGCAGCTGTTGCGGGGCTGCTTCCTGTGCTCTCAGCCATCATGGTAAGGGCTCAGGCTGGTGGAGGGCTGTATGAGGAAGACGCCATGGGGTCAGCAGTGGCACCTGGGGTGTGACGTCATGCACTTAGTGCGTGTTGGGTGTTTTAGCATAGGAAAGGAAGACCTTCCTCCCCATCACTGTTCCTGTTGACACGACAGGAACTGGTGTGTGATCCTGATGCTAGCTCAGGTTTGCCTCGTGCTTGCAGAAGGCAATGCAGTGATTCATGACGGTAGGTGTCACTGGACTGCTGGGATGTGTGTGCCAGCATGGCAGTCCAAGAAGCTCCTGGACAAGCTGTGACCCACTTGTCTGGGATGCTCTGCCTGTGTCAGGGTACCATCATTGCTTGCAACTTTTTACTCATGTAAAAGTAAAATACGGCATTTGCATGGCCCTTGGTGTAGCTCATTGTGCTGGACTTCTGGGGCCTGTGCTCCATCGGGTAGACTGTCCTGACTCAGAGTGGCTCTAGGCAGTGAGGCCTGGGTCACAGACCCATGGACTTGAGGTACTTGATACAACTGCTCACGGGTAGATGTGGTTCATGGGTGATGACTCCACCTGTGTGGGGAAGAGATACCCCATCTCAGGGTGCGTGTGGATACTCAGCAGGAACATGGTGATCCAGTCTATCTGGAGGAGCCACAGGCCTGTTTGCACCCAGAAGGTACCGAGATGTGACTGCTGGAGATGAGTGGGCTCTGTGCACGGTGTCTTTGAAGGAGTGTGTTTTATTTATTTATTTATTTTTTAATATTTTATTTTTTAGTTATCAGCGGACACAACATCTTTGTTTTGTTTTATTGGTATGTATGTGGTGCTGAGGATCGAACCCGGGCCGCACGCATGCCAGGCGAGCGCACTACCACTTGAGCCACATCCCCAGCCCCCAGGAGTGTGTTTTAGATGCAGGTCCAGTGCGAGCCTGCCCAGCTGCTGTGTGTGCTGGGTGGGAGCCTCCTGGCTGGCATGTGGATCTTGGGAGGATGACCACTAGAGTGCAGTTGCTTCCTATGCCGGCAATACGTGGCCTCCAGCCAGCTCTGTCTTCTCCCTTCCTGCAGACACACTGACAGCTTTGCTCACACACGATTTTCTCCCTCCTATGGCTCAGGAGTCTGACAGTTTCCCCACTGGCTTTTGGAAGTGGAATAAGCTGACCCATCAAGAGTTGTGACCTGGAGTGGCGGCAGTCAGCCGTAACCTGCAGGACTGTCAGCTGCTCAGGCCCAGGGTCCCTGTTTGGCTACAGACTCAGGATACCATGGTCTCTGCCCTCTGCGCACTCCAGTTTGAGATCTTGCCCAGCAGTATTTTTAAGATTTAAACTAAAGTCACAGCACCTTGAAAAGCACGAGTGGCCAGAGCTTCAGGGTCTCCACGTATAGTCCCGGCCGCACAGAGCTGTTGGCGTCTCAGAGAGCCTTCCTCTGGCTTCCTGTGGAGTCAGGTGGGCCCTTGTCCCATTTTCTTCTCTGCTGAACACAGTATGCAGTCCAGAAGGTGGACGCTCCCTCTGCAGTCATCCATGCTAATGTGTCCAGCATTAAGATCTCCTTCATTACATTGCCTGTCAGTAACAGGAAACAGTGTCACGTTTCAGTCCACTGATTTGGATGTCTCATCTTTAGGGCCGTGCTCGAAAGTTGGGCTGGAGGGGTGGAGTTAAGTGGGTATAGGGAGGAGACCCAGGAGGCATGGGTTTGCCTTTGCCATCTGGATCCACACCTGCCTCCCTCCCGTGTGGTGGATGCTGAGGAGCAGGATGGCAGCGCCAGTGCAGAGGTGGGTATTAGTGAGGAGATGCACAGCTGTCTCCCTGCAGCAGCACCTGGAGTGCACAACAGGTAAGGTCGGCTGGCCACCTGAGAGCAGGAAGCCATGCTTCGTGACACCTTTGTCATGAAGGTCACCCTGTGTCCCAAGACCCAGGTGTTCCCCATTCTCATCTTCTCTGTAAGGAATTTCCCATGTGGAAACGACATTTGTTGGTTGGGTGTGAGAAGCTCATAGAATTAGCAGGAAGCTAGAGTGTGTCTGCCCTGGCCACCACCAACACCTGAGGTGTGGCCCTCCACCTGCACCATGCCTCTGCTTTAATGGGCCAGGGCCCTAGGGCCTGGATGAGGCAGCAGCCTTGTTCTCCCTGTCACCATGCTGCCATGACCTGTACACATGCAGCCAGGGTGGTCTCTGAACCTCTGGGGACTTCCTGACTTCTTTCTGGCCTCTTTCCCCTGCCTCAGCCCCAGCCGTGTGGGCAGCCACCCTGTGTCCTGGCCTTGGTCCTGAGCTGCGTGCCCACCACCGTGGCTCACTCTGCGCAGGTCTCTCCTCACCCAACCTATTTGAAGTAACATCCCTTCTTTCCTTTTGTCTGTTCACCCCAGAGCATCAGCTCCAAGAAGAAATGATAAATGTCCAGTACATTGTGATTCCGGGACTTACATAAAATTATCATCAAAGAACTTCATGCAGTGGATGAAAGTCAGTAGGAAGAGAACAGAGTGTTGATACCACAGTGTAGGAAAAATCCTCAAGCCCCGTGCAGTGGGCTAGGGGTACTGAGGGAATCCTCTGCCAACATTTCTATTCTGCTGAGCACTGATATGGAGGAGTAGCCTTGCTTTTAGGTCCTGGGTTTTTTGTTGTTGTTTGTTGTTTTGTTTTTTCTTTAATTGTGGAGATTGAACCATGGGCCTCACACATGCTAAACATGTAATCTACTGAGCTACACCCCCAGCCCAGATCCGATATTGTTTAGACCTCTACTGCCAGTGTGTATGGAGCTGGGCAGTGCACACCAGGAGGCAGACGCTGGGGGCCCTGCAGGGGCTGGGCTGTTTAAAGTGCAGGTGTCTCAAGGGTGCAGGGAAATCCCGCTCTTTCCCCGTGAGTGAGCCTTTTGCAGGTTTCAGCATGGAGCTGGTGTGAAGAGAGACCCCTGGATGTCCGCCACCTTTTTCTGCTGGGTGTGCCTTGTGCTGAATTGTCAGCGTAGTGCTGGCACCTCAGCAGCAGGCTTGAGTAAGACTCGACCCATGCCTAGCCTCTGGCACCAGTCCAAAGCTTGACCCACACTGGTGCTCGATACTAGCTGTGCCATGGGCTCAGAGGTGAGTGACCATCTTACTCCTTCAGCACTCTGTGGACACCTGAATCACCCAGCTCTTACCAGCCTAACTTGGGGGAGTTCCACAGCTGGGGCCTGCCCCAATAAATTCATTTTAAAAACTGGTTACCCAGCAGCTTTGCTGTTGTCCCACCTGGCTAAGGATTTATCCACAAGCTTGATTGAATCAGTACACAGCCTTGTGGGAACTTACTTCATCCCCAGTTTGTAGACAGGAACAGGGGCCCCCACTGTTCCAGAGCCTGCCCAAGGTCACTGCTGGGCTGGTACATCCGGAGCCAGGATCCCCCCCCAGGATTGGTCTCCTCCACAGCCCGGAAGTCCCAGTGCCAATCCTGGGGGCTGCATTGCGGCCCAGCCCTTCCTGTGGGACTGTAGGGAGGTCCCAGCCACCCTCCCTGGTCTTCGTTGGTGGGGCGGGGACCCAAGC